CTGCTATTTTCTTGCACGCGGGTTTTCGTCTGCTCTCAGGCTCTTCTTTTTCTTATTGTGAAAGAAGCGGCATATGATAGGGCAGTTCCTTATGCCTTTTCTTTCTTTTGTGCTTTTTTCTTTTTCTGTTTTTGCGGGCGAAGCTGCAACGGGTCATCTAGTCAGAAATAAAACAACATCTGCGGTTTTTGGTCTCTAACGCTTACCTTTCCACAAGGGATGGCACTCACCGCCATCAGGTGGTCGGATCCCCCTATGGGCATTAACTGCGGACCAGAAATTGCCAATCTCACACTTCATTCGGATGAAGCACAGTTCATTGATGAACTTCATCAACAGCATCTGCGCGCAGTGCAAGCATATGTTTGAAGCCTTTAACATATCGGTTCATTTCTGACATCCTATCTTGGAATGCATCTCTGCCCCCTTCTGCTCAGTATGGTCTTCAATGGAAAGACACTACTGAGCAAGATTCGTCACGTCCTTGGCCCAGGAATCTTGGTTCAGCCAGACAGCTCACTTCGCATCGGTATGTTTGATAAGGCCGAGGCTTGGACATTCCCTGTTATACGTTATCCCAGTGCACAGGCGTGCTCATGGGTCAGCTGACAATTTTTGAACGCATGTGCATATGTTAGGGGCCATCCTCCCAGTGTCCGGGCCAGAGGCTGGACTGCATATGTGCGTGGGCGGCAGCCGGTTACCCACACAAGTCACACGACTTTCGAACTGGTTTCACGGCATGGTGCACTGGGCAATTACTCACCCACTGCCGAATGCTATTCTGCGCACAGGCAGCATCAGCCCTCCACACAACCACACACAATGGGCCCCTACCCACTCCCAATTCTGAATACAGGCAGCATTAGCCCTCCACACAGCCAAATGCAGCGGGATCACTCTCTCTTGCTATTTCTACCAAGATAGCAGACGCTAATGTGGGTACTGGAACTCGGCCAGAGACCAGGCCAGACACAACAGACAATGTGAACGTTGTCGAAGTGGCTGCAGGGGATGATGGCCTGCATCCAACCAATGAGGCGGGTGCTACTGAAAGTGTGCCTCCTCCTCCTCCACCACCACCACCATCCTCCACCCCTCCCCCCCACCCCCACCAACTCCCCCACCCACATCGTCGAGTACATCATCCTCTCCATCAACTGCCTCTTCTTCCTCCTCTTCCTCGTTTTCTCCCTCCTGCTCCCCCTCTCATGTCTCCCCTTCTTCATCGTTCTCATCATCAGCACATTCATGGTGAGATCAGCAGTGACAGAGGCCTCAGCGGCGGAGGCAATCATGGTCAGGTCGGCCGTTTTAGAGGCCTCTTTGAAGGAGACGTTCCCCGTCTCCACCTCCTCCTAGACAGCCTCGTTTTTACTGGGACAGCATGATCAACGCGCCCTTGGCGGGGCTCA